CATGTCCTTGGAAGAACACATCATGCTGGGAAAAGTCAGAGAAAGAGAGGAAGACCCTCAAACACGATAGATTGCTACAGTGACTGCAGTGGTGAGCTTGAGCATGTGAGAGATCTTAATGATGGCACAGGGTAGGGCAAGGTTGACATCTGTTTTCTTAGGTCATAGGAGTTTTAGGCAATTCAGCGGCACCTAACCACACCAACTACCCTTGTACTACCTATCTCAAGCAGGCATGCCTCATATAGCATAGTGTGAATAACGTTTTTATATGCTTTGGGAAACCCCCAAAATATTCATGATTCACTTTATTTATTTAGTTAGTTAGTTAGTTAGTTAGTTAGTTAGTTAGTTAGTTAGTTAGTTAGTTATTTAGTTATTTAGTTATTTAGTTAGTTAGTTAGTTAGTTAGTTAGTTAGTTAGTTAGTTAGTTAGTTAGTTAGTTATTGATTGATTGATTGTGGTCTTGAACCACACCTAAGGCATTCTTGAGATTTGCGTGTACATCCTGAGTTAATATGTAAATTTTAAAGACCCATGTTAAAACATTTTGGTGAATGCTTTTAAGTGCCTAGTCTTTGCAGTTATGCAGAAGGATCTTTACTAGGAAACCACTCTCTGCAAGAAAAATACTTAGAATTTTATCTGTTCTGAAAGTCTAGAAACCATAGATATTTCATACTTGCCCTCTGACCAGTAAGCATGTCTTTCTGTCTCTCAGTGACACTCCTCCCTTTAACTTCAAAATATGTTGTGATTTTCCTTAATTAAACTAACCTCGATTTGTCCCTCTAGCCTCAAGTGACTGTTGTTGGATGTTTTCACTTTTTCAATAGTGAATGTACATTTTCTAATTACTCATATGCTCCCTAAACTTTACAGAGTCCAGTTTCTATCCTTGTTTCACTCTAAGTTCTAAGTGTCTTTGTAGTGCTTTTCACTGTTTTCGGAGAATTTATTTTTCAACTTTAACTCACAGATTTATACTTTAACTGTGGTTCTGTGAACTCCATGTAACTGGGATAATGTCGCTATCTTGGAACAATTCAGTGGTCCTCATCTATTGTTCTTTATCAGAACTTCTCTATGCATTGGGTACTATTTAACATGACTTAATTTTTTTTAATCCCTCTTCTGTGCTGTGTAATGTTCTTTCTCTGGAGGAAATTTGTTGGCATTTAGGCCTGGACAACCATGGCTCATAATAGCCTAGAAAATGTGAAACTCTGCAATGAAGAATGTTCCACAGTTACATGCCAGTAACCTTGAGGGATGTTAAATTAGGGATTCCTGCTTTCAGCTGTATTAAGCTGAGCAGGGTTCCAGCCTACTGTTTAACCAGACCGCGGGTTATTCCCTCACAGATCAAGTGCAGAGAGGATGCTGTGCCCAGCTGGCATGGGGCCCCACGTTTTTTATCACAGTCCAGGGGCCTCCTGGTTTCCTCTTCTGCATCTTTAGTTCATCTGTGCCTGTCATCCTTATTTCCTTAAAGATGGTCACTTCACCTCTAGAGAGGATGCAGGAGGGCAGAACAGTGGCACAAATTTCAGGAATGCCAAACTTAAGGATCACCCGTGACATCAGTATGCACCTCATTGATGCCTCTTTGTAAAGGAAAGGAGCCCTAGAGGAACAACGGGTTGAGTACTGCGCTGTGAAGCAAAGGGTTGACCATTCAAACCCACAAGTAGCTTTGTGGGAGAAGGATTTATTTATCTCCTTGGAAACCCTATGGGGTCGTTCTGAGTTCTATCCTGCAGGGTCTCTGGAGTTTACTAGATGGCTTTGGCTAGGGAAGTTTTAAAAAAATGATTCTTAACCTGGACATACTGCCTTTTCAAACAAAATTAGGGTTTTTTACTTAAGGAAGAAGGGAAAAATAGATTCTGGGAAATCACTTGCCAGAGGTGATGTGTGCTGGGTTAGACAGGTTGTTCATAGAAGCAGTTAGCTACACATTGTGCTTCCTCCTGTTCTTGATTCTCCTTCTGCAGTCGCTCCCGTGAATAATGAGCAGTTGTACCTTCCGTGGCCTCTTACAAACTATTAAGAGCCCAGGAATTCGCTTAGCTAATTCTTAACTCACACATTGCTATCAAATTGGAACACGTCAGCTGACTCTCCACTGGGTTTTTAGAGGCTGCAAATTGCATGGAGATTGCCCATCTTTCTTCCATAGAGAACTGGTGGAGTCAAACCTCCTAGGAGTGCCTTTGGGTCTGCAGCATAACTCCTTACCCACTAGGCCACTAGAGCTCTAGGAGGTAAAAAGAAGCACTGAACACATTATTGGACCAATACTGAGATGTCCCATGAAGCCGTAATCAACTTAAACAGGGAACTAGATCCTGTGAGGTATTTCGGTGTGCCTAGGAAGCCTCGGCAGCTATTCTTTTTTTGTTTTCTTTTTTGTCATTTTAAAATGTCTGCCACAAAACTTTTGCCAATTTAACTTTTTACTGGTATACAGCTTATTGACAGTGTTCAACAATCAGTTAAGAAACCCCACAATTAATACTATTTTCCTTCACTATAAGTCTAAATTCAGTAAATTTTGAGCAATAACTACTTTCCTCTTCCCTCCCACCTTGCTAAACGTGAAATTTGCCCTTTCTTGTCATTTTTATATAACTGAGGTTATACAGTATTTGCCCTTTTGTGATTACTTCTCTTAGATAATGCCTTTAAGCTCCAGCCATGCATGTATAAAGGCTCATTTCCCAGTCTGGCTGAGTTGTAGTTCACTGTATGTATATGCCACATTTTGGTGGGCTTTTGGATTGATTGTTTCCACTTTTAGGCTATTGTGAATGGGAATGCAGTGAATATGGTATACAAGCCTCATTTTGAGTCTCAGCTGAGTCTCAGCTTTTTTATATCTTTTTAATATATGCCTAGTTGTAGAATTGTTGGAGGAAGTTCTGGTGGCCTAGAGGGTAAGTTCTTGCACTGTCAACCCAAAGGCCAGCAGTTCAAATCTACCAACTATTTAATGGGAGAAAGATGGGCAGTCTCTTTCTGTTTGATTTACAGACTATGAGTCCATTTTGACTTCCTGGCAGTGAGTTGAGAGGTGAAGTTAGTGCAGGTCAGATGGTGCTACCCACCTCACCCCCCCGTTTTTACACTTAGCCATTCCAGCAAGCATGAAGTGGTTGAAAGCAGAGAATACCAAAAGAATGTCTATTGTATTTTATTGACTATGCAAAGGCATTTGACCAGATCATAACAAATTATTACTAGCATTGAGAAGAATGAGAATTCCAGAACACTTAATTGTGTTCATGAGAAATCTATACCTAGATCAAGAAACTGTTGTCCAAACAGAGCAAAGGAACGCTGCATGTTTTAAAATCAGGAGGCTGTGTGTCAAGTTTGTATCCTTTCCCCATATCTATTTAGTTGGTAATGCTGAGCAGCTCACTCATGAAATTAGACTCTGTGAAGAGGAATGTGGCATCAGGATGAGAGGAAGGCTCATCAACAATCTGTGTTCTACAGATGACACAGCATTCCTTACTGAAAGTTGGGAGGCTTTGGGATGCTTACTGTAGAGGATCAAAGACTATATAGCCTTGAACATGGATTGCTTCTCAACATTAAGAAGATAAAAAGCCTCACTACTGGGCCAATAGACAACATCATGATAGGTGGAAAAAGGATTGAAATTGTCAATAATTACACTAATTATTGTACTTGTATCAGCAATCAGCTCCCTGGTTTGTACCTGCAGTCAGGAAATCAGTAGATGTATTGCATTGGGTAAGTTCACTGTCATGGATTTCTCCAAACTGCTGAGGTGCAGTGATGTCGCTTTGAAGGCTTAGGTGCAACTAATTCAGGCCATGGTCTTTTCAGTTCCTTACTATGCATTTGAGAGATGGAGAGTGAATAAAGATGACTGAAGAATTGATGAGTTGTAGTGTTGAAGAAGAGCACTAACTATCCCAGAGACTATGAAGAAAACCTCAAACAGATGTGTCTTGGGAAAAGTGCAGCCAGAGTCCTCCTTCAATGCAAGAATGGCAAAAATTTGTCTTGTGTATTTTAGGCATGTTGCTAGGAGAAGCTGTTTCTTAGAAAGGGTTATCATGCTTAGAAAGGTGGAGGGTGAAAGAGAGGAAGAACCTTAATGTGATGGATAGACATAATGATTGCAGCCATGGGCTCAAGTGTATCAGAGGTGAGGAGGACGGCGCAGGAAGGACAGGGTTCAGATCTGCCTTTCATGGGGTCACTAACCCGATGGCATAACAACAGCATTGCCCAATAACAATGAGCATCTTTTTGTGTGTTAATTGGTCATTTGAAAGTTCTATTCAAGTCCTTTCTCCATTAAATTATTGGATTGTCTTTTTGTTAGTTATCAGAGTTATCAAAATTTCATATATACTTTGGTTATTCAATTCTTGTCACTTTTAAAATGTCTGAAGATAATTTCCCAGTCAGTAGCTTTCTTGCCTTTTCACCTTTTCTTAGCAAAATATTTTTATATCTGCTGTGTGTTTTTTTATTTGCTGCCAATTGATATTTCCTCAAATAGGAAATTTAATGGCTCACCTATTTACATTTTTCCAAAATTTCATTCTTGTTTGGGTAAAACCCCATAAAATTTATATTTGTAGCTATTATTTACTTTTTATTTCCTTACTTATTTGTATTTGTTTAAGCCACTTTGACTTACAGGTTTAGATTTTATTTCACATTGCCAGTAATTGTGTTTTTTTGGTTTTTTGTTTTCTAAATTTTATTCTTTTTGTGTGTGTGTACCATCAAATCAGATCTGACTCGTACAGGAGATTGCCCCTCCTTCTCCAGCAGAGCATCTGGTGCATTTGAGCCGCATACCTCTGGGATTGCAGTGTAGCTTCTTGCCACTAGGCCATCAGAGCTCCCTTCAGTAACTGTGTTTTAAAACATTTTTGCAGATTTATTTTCCTTTACAGCCTATTACTATACTGCAGCATTTTAACTGACATTACACATTTTTCCACAGGTGATATTCTTGAATTCCATGGTCCAGAAGGAACAGGAAAAACAGAAATGCTCTATCATTTGACAGCCCGGTGTATACTTCCAAAGTCAGAAGATGGCCTGGAAATAGAAGTCTTGTTTATTGATACCGATCACCACTTTGATATGCTTCGCCTTGTGACGGTTCTTGAGCACAAACTGTCCCAAAGCTCTGAGGAGACGGTCAAGTCTTGTCTTGGGAGATTGTTCTTGGTATGCTGCAATAGCAGCTCCCAGTTACTTCTTACACTTTACTCCCTGGAAGCTATGTTCTGTAGCCACCCCTCGCTTTGCCTTTTGATTTTGGATAGCTTGTCAGCTTTTTACTGGATAGACCGAGCCAATGGAGGAGAAAGTGTTAACTTGCAGGAATCTACTCTGAGGAAGTGTTCTCAATTCTTAGAGAGACTTGTGAGTGAGTATCGCTTGATTCTTTTTGCATCAACACAAAGCATCATGCAGAAATCCACCAACTCAACAGAAGGAGCTTCTGCTTCTGACTTTAAGTGCCCAGGAAATGACTACATAGACTACAGACCCTATCTCTGTAAGACATGGCAACAGATGGTAAAGCACAGATTTTTTTTTTCCAAACAAGAGGATTCTCAAGGGAACAACCAATTTGCCTTAGTTTCACGAAACTTGAAAAGTAATCGTTTAAAAAAGCATTTTTTTATTATTGGAGAAAGTGGGATTGAATTTTCTTAATATGTATCATGAATTAGTCTCTTGCAAAATAATGTACAATTTATTAAAAGCCTTTTATATAGTCGAATGTTGTGTTTCTAAAATTTTAGACCCAAGGGAATTACCACAGCAATATTTCTGTATAAAATCAATTTCTTAAACTCACACAGCAGGACTTCAGACTTTGGTTTTTAGGTTATTGAAGAGTAATCAGATATTAATTAAATTTTGTAATAAACTTGTATCAAAATTAAATAAATTATATAAAAAAATTAAACCTAAAAATATGGACTTTTCTAACTTTGTTTCACATTTTAAAAATGCACTGAAGTATTTTTAAAAGTTTAGGTGAATTTTTAATATCTCCTGTTACTCCTTTGGCAAACTATGACTGAAAAAAAATTATATTTAATTTCTGTGTAAGGAATAGTAAACTCAAGGCTATTTATTTGCTTCTCATGAAGGACGATAGAAGAAAAACCAATGCCTTTGAGTTGTGGTGCTGGAGAAGAGTATTAAATATACCATGGACTGCTAGGAGAATAAACAGATTTGTACTGAAGAGGTTGAAACCAACATGCTCCTTGGAGGCAAGGATTCTGAAGCTCTGTCTGACATACTTTGGGCATGTTGCAGGGAGGGACCAGTCCTTGGGCAGGAATATCATGCTTGGAAGAGTGGCAGGACAGCACAGGAGAGGAAGAGCGTAGATGAGGTGGATTGACTCAGTCTAGGGTAATGGGGATAGGTGTGTCAGAGACAATGAGGTTGGCTTAAGATAGAGCAGTGTTCAGAGCTGTTGTACAGAGGCTCACTATGAGTCACAAGTGACTCAACGGCACATAACAATGACAACAACAACATCCTTTTTTTCTGAGTAACTAGATTATGAAGTCTCAGAGCATTTTTGTTAGACTCACACCTAAATACCAGGACTAAATAGGACTAAATGCCAGGAAGTTGCACTGTGGTTTGGTTTTGTATAATTTTTCAAGTAAAGACAAATGATATACCCCAATGACTTTGTTGATGTAGGTTTTGAAATATGTATCATTTCCATGTTGAGTAATAAGTGAAGGCTACAACTGTATGTTACTAGTATTTTTTTTACTCATTTATAATAATTCAGACATGCTCTGAACTTGATGGAGTGACTTTCAGCTGAGGGCAGGACAAGGCTGTCCTGTGCCATGAGGACCAGTGAAGCCACAGTGGGGAGCATGCATCTCAAGGGCCAAAGGAAGATAGTGTAGTGAAGGAAGAAAATCTTAGGACTTCTATTTATACAATTTTAAGAAAAAACAAAATGATTTTGATGCTTGTTGTTCAGATTGACCACAATGCTCCCATTCAGCACGTGTGTCAGATTGTCATGTCACCCACGTACATGAAGTGAAAGTGAAATGCACTGATGTTATTTTCATGGGTCTGTCCATTAATGTATGTTATGTCTCATTAAAATGATTACTATAAACTTACCTAACTAAAAAAAAAAAAAAAAGTAGTCTTGTTACTTTTCTCTCCAGGGTATTTCAAGGATAGAGTTGGCCATATTGCATATTTTGCATATTCATAACATATTTTACATACCTTGCATAATTCTCTCAATTAATTTGAATAACCAAGTTGACTGAGTATGCATTTTTATGTCTTCATGGATATGCAAAATTTACATTTTACCAGCAATGCCCTTCTTTGTCATTTGTACAGAGGAATTCTTGGCTTCTTTTATGCATATGCCACTAGTTTTATGCTCACTAGTCTCATTTCTGATTAAAAGGAAGAAGGATTTGCATAATTTATCACTGGATCATAAGCCTCAGATCCCATAGGTCAGCACTCTGCTTTGAGATGATAATCAATCCAGGAATTACTAGCCAGCCTCCAGCTAACTGCGAGATAGGGATCCAAATTGACACAACTGGTCTATCAGAAGGCCAACAGCAGTTGAACTCTTACCAATATACTGTATTTATGAGAAAGTAAATTGTCTGAGGTTTAACATTAACATTCTTTAAACACATTTACATAGTCAAAAAATATTGTCAAAACCAACAGCTTCGTGCACCTCAGTTCTACATTAAGGTCTTCATATTCTTTGGTGTTCTATAATCCTCACATCATCTTCAGAACAGTAGCACTTAACAAAGAAGAAATCTAGGCTTGAGTGGTTCCAATGACTAGCCCACATGAACTGAGTCTGGATTTGAAACCTGAGTTCTGTTCTCCCTTTCCCGCTAAGTTGTTCTTACTTGAAATGCCCTATTTATCAGTCACACAAATCATCAGATTAGAGACTCTACAGCAATTAAAATTATTTTTATCCTTACATTTTTAGTTTTCTAAAAATGTATTTGTACAAAATTTATTAGTTTTTAATTTAAATGAAATTTCTTTAAATTTAAATTAAATTTAAAATTTATTTATTTCTAATTTTCTAAAAATTTATTTGTAAAAAAAATTATTCTTCTAACAATCTATTTGTAAAAATAAGAACAGCAGGCTTCAGGGCAACCACATCTGCTCTACAGTAACTCCACAAGAAGGAACAGTCCACATCTACAACATCTTCAGCACTAAACCAATCCCTATGAGATCAGGCATGCCTGCACACTCCCTGAACCTACTTCTAATAGTTCTAACTAACTGTCTATCTCAAGGCTCTCACTGCTCTGTTACTGGGTCGGCTTACTCATTGCAATGGCTGTGGTCACACTGAACTTACAGATTATCCTCATGATTGTAGGACTTATTAGAATGGTTGACAGATTATCCTGCAGGCATAATCTTTAAGGAGTTGGATTTAATCCAAAGGTGAACTCACTCTCGTGCTTCAAAGACATCAGCTGGTCCCAGGGAAGCACCCTGCATTCGCTGCTGCTTCATTTTTTTTTTTTT